GGCCGTGGCGGGCGCGCCGTGCGCCGCCGACGGCTATACGCCGTCTCCCGGCCAAAACACCTTCTTCCTCGGCAACTCCAGAACAACTTAACATGAACATTATTGTGAGGAAATTTAAGACATAAACACGTGGACGAACATGATCATTACTGAAGGCACTAAGACATGACCCAAGGCTGCCCGTGGCCACGCGCGATAAGCGCTAGCGACGGTTTGGGCCATTTCATCGACAAAACCTCACTTTTCCTCGACTAATCTGGACTTACTGGACATGAAATAAGCTAAACTGAACAATTAAACATTAATTGTACGAGAGTTGCCGGGTAAAACCATTAGTTGTTCGATCACGGTTTACTTTAAGCATAATCGGACCTTAGCACGGCCTTACTAAAAATTCTCGAGCATGATTCGAACACTTAACTTATTATGACCTTACTAACATAGTTACAAGATGACGAGGAAGATACCTCGTCGAACGTTCGGTTAAGGACGCAAGGTAGGCGTTACTTCTTGGCTCCGTGTGCTTTGGCGTGCGCAAGTCGCCGTGCGGTACTCCGTCTAATACCGTGTGATGAGGAGTATGGAAAGCTTAAATTAAGAAGCTAAGTTACTTGCTGAATTTGGGGTGGAATATGCTGATCGGCTCTTAAGGGAAAAAGGTGGAAAAATTTGGTCCAAGGTCATCTTATTTATACTAAGGCCGTGGGGGATTGTTGGTGACGTAGGCCTAACGTGGCCACCTCCCTTCATAGCACTTGTAAATTAATTTGATGGGTTAAGGATAAATAATCAAGCCACTTTTCTCCCACTTAAAACACGTGTGCTAGAAGATGTGTGGGAGGGAATTGCTTCCTTAAGCATTAGGAACTTGAATATAATTGGAACATACATCCCCTATAGCTCACGGCTTTTAGGCCATTAATTGGAAAATAATTTTCCTAATGCACGCTTAATGCCCTAGTTAGGTGATTAATTAGCATTAATCACTTAAATTATGTTTAATTATTTAATTAAACATAATGCTTAATTACTAAAATTATTCCGAACGTAAACGGTACGTTGAAAATAAATTTCGATAATCTCGACGGAAATTAATTAATTCTTAAAATGAAAAACATTAACATTATTATCTCGGAACTAAAACATAATTTATACCGAAAAAATATCAGGATATTAAAGTAGCAATTAGATCGAATGATCTAATGGCTGAAAAAAAAATAAAAAAAAAACCCCAAAATTGTACCATCATCAAGGATAATATGAATATGTACTCACACACCAACTATCCACCACATTAATGGGCCCTAACTCAATTAAATTGTTCCCATTCTCCATTAACCGGTTTGTCACCCACCTCTCCTCTCTCTCTCTCTCTTTCTCTCTCTCTCTCTCTCTCTCTCTCTCTCACACACACACACACACTCACTCACACACACACACACTTCACGGATGGACACACACAGATCCACACACATGGTTGATGGGTGCACGCCAGCCACTGTAACCAGTAGAGCTTCGTCGCAAACCGCAAGCCGCCTTCCTTCCATCGCTTCCGACAGACACCTCATGCCGGTGCAACATCACACGGCCCAGAGCCTCGCCAGATCCCTCCGCCCACAGCCGTCGCCTTCCTTAACATCGCCGCAAACTCTCTGCCCGTCACTATTTGACAAGGATGATGCGCCAGCGACTGTCTCCGCGTTCCCGCAGCCATATCCGCCTGTCATGATGCCTGTTCTAATACCGCCTTCCTCACAGCCACATCTGTCGTCTCCACCTTACCCACACCACATGTGCCAGAAAACTGTTAACAGACACAAAAATTCTAATGGCAATGGTTGGGGAAGAAATATTAGATTCAAAAATTAGGGGGCCATTTTTTTAAAAATTATACATTTTGAAGGGGCCAATTTCAAAGTTTAGAAATTACAACTGTCTTACAATTTAGTTCACGGGTTAGATATGTAAATTAACAGAAGTAAGAAATGCTTTATCTATATATATATATATATATATATATATATCAATTTACATTTTTTATTCTATTATCTTTTTTAATTTAATGTCTAGTTCGAACTATAATTTTCGGTCAGAATTTTTTAAATATGGTACGATTATTTATTTTTACTTTTAAAGATCCAATCATGTCGGCTAGATGTTGACTTTATTTTTAAAATAACTGAACTGACCGAACTATAATAATAGTTCCAACAATTTTCGGTTAAAATTTTCAAATATGGTTCAATGAGTTATTTTTACTTTTAAAACTTCCATTATCTTGGCTCGATGTTGTCTTTATTTTTAACATAACTGAACTGAGGTGCTAAATATTGGCTTATCCATGTTTGTCCCATTTTTGTTGCATTTTTTCTCGTTATTTTTCATTTTCCCCCTATTTTAGGTCTTTTCATAGGTTTATAGTCGCTTTGTAGTTTATTGCATGTTTTGCTCAATTTTGGTTTTCTATGTGTTTTCCATATGTTTTTCCAGTTTTTCTTCTTCTATGGTGTGTAGGTCGAAAGCTTTGAGAGGATTTATTTTCTATGATAAATGGATTCTGTTAACATGATTAAAAAGAGCGTTTCGTCTGGCGTCACACAAGAAAAAACAGAACTCAATTTCGAGTTCGGACGAGCCCAATCGAGCCCGAGACACGAAAAAGTGCGAGTTGCCCAAGCCCCGAGCGCGTGCTGCACCGCGCCACATGCCACGACATCGACAGAGACGCCCAGGCTTACTTCACGTCGCGCTGCAGCACTACCATGTTGTTTCACACCGCGCCAACACGCGCGACACCTATCGCGTTTCAGCAGAACATGCCCAGCATTCCACTCTACCCTGCGGCACAGCCCCGCGCCGCGGCACAAAGCTTCTCCACGCCGCGGCAGCACCTCGCGTCGCGACACCTGGAACCTGCACGTCGCGTGCCTAGTTTCTTCATGCCGCGACATGCTCGCTTATATATATGGGATTGACTTCGATAAAAGAAAGGACGTCTCTCAACTGGTGAAAAGCCTAGGTGCGAGAAAACAAGACAAAAACTCCATTTCACTCATTTCCTTCTTTTCTTGGTTTCTTCTTCTTTTCTTAATCCTTCTTTTCCATTCTTCTTCTGATTTTTATTATTATCAAGGATTATTTTTTTCCCAAAATGATAGATACTATTATAAATCAAAATGCACAAATGTGTGAATACTGAGAAACAACGAACAAGTGAAAAAGTGGGAGGACAGGTCAGAAGACCGCCTAGAATCCCGACTAGCAACGCTAGAATAAAAGCAATCACAACAAACTAACCAAAAACACACAATCAAGAACAAAAAACAACTAAAGGCTCCCAACAAGAGAATGCCCGGGTGTAGGATCCCAACAGGATACTAAGTTTTACACCCGGGTTCACTGAGACCAAATGGTCCAAACACAAAAAACAAGACTGAAGAACAACACTGATACATACACAAACAAACAGAATCAAAATAACCAAATAAAAATAATATAGATAAGGGCCTTCCCCAGTCAAAAAACGAGTCCAAACCAGTAGAGAAACATTCAGTCCAACAAGATCCCAAGCCCGAGAAACCGCAACCGAAATGTGTTACAGTCTATACCGAAGTCGAACGCGGACTCCGAAACCATCTCAAATCAACCCATCGCCAATCGAGAGAACCAGACTTGCTCCCCACACCAGCACAACCCAACCTCGTCTAACACTACTAGCCGAGCTCGGGTACTCCGAACCCCACCTTTCCCTAACACCGGAGGATCGGGGGTAAGAGCGGTCCAGTCATACAACCCCAGCATCCTCGACACTGGGTGCCGCATCACATCACTCGGGGTCCCGCCCCGTCCACCGACCCGCACACCTCCCAGCCACACCTCAAGTCGCCCGCAGCTGGACCCCCGCGAGACCATCAGAAGCTCCACCAAAAGTAAAGGCGACTGAAGGACCCTAATCGCAGACAAGATAGAAATTAAGGGGCAAAACCTCTCCAATCGAAGACCCGCCGACGAGAATAAGCCATCAGGCTCAAATCGAGGGCCCACCTCCCCAATCGATAACTCGTTGGTGACCGAGGGCGGTGAATCCATTGCTGATGATTGCAGTGACAGTAGGAAGGCACGATGTCAGGGACAGAATGAGTGGCCAAAGCCGACCACAGGCTTGCGCCTCGCTGTCGACAAGGAGGGCGGACAGAGCAGCACAAATCAGGAAACTTTTGAGAGCGTTTTTTCGCCTGAGGGAGAGAAGGGAGAAAATGATTTGTGATTTTGTGTAGTTGCAAGGGCCAACGTTCTTTAATTTTACTTTTTATTATCAAGGATTAAGCTTTGTATTTTAAGATTCAACACTTGGATTTAGATTAATTGTAAGTATTTCTTTCTCTTATTTAATTCATGAATAAGGGTTGATTTGAGAGGAATGATTATGTGTTTTGAATTTGATATACATAGATAATTATGATTGGTAGGGATAGGGGAGATTATTTTTGTTTAACGTGTATTTATCGGGCTTTGATTTGTTCGTTCATGTGTGAGTTGATTTAATTCAGAATTGATGTGTGCTTGTTTGATTGACTGATATAATCGAAGAGTGACACTTCAATCTTGCAATGGGGAACAATTGAATGTTAATTTGTCGAGGAAGGGCGTTGTTGATCCTAAATGATTTAATGATTAAAATCCTTCTAATAGAATTAGCGACTTTTATAACCGAAATGGGAGAAGTCGTTGACCTAGGCTCGCACGAGGTAGATGATTTTGTAATTGAATAGTCTATAGCTTTTGGATTGAAATAAGTGCTTGTCGATGATGCGTCCCTTGTTACGAAGAGTTATTGGGATTGGGAAATTGATATGTGTTGTATGCTCGAACTTGTTCGTATATGTTCAATCCCATGTTCCGAAAAGTTATTGAAAGCGAACCGCTAGATGTTTAACAGTTTAAGTGACAGTGTCAATCTCGAAACCAGACAATTAATTGTTTGGTTTTGCTAAAAGAACATGGATTAATTATCACGTACTCCCTAGCTTCTTCATCTTTGTTTCGCTTCTATTTTTAGGTAGATTATTGTTTTTATATTATTTCTTGGTTGGTAATTATTCTACCCCCATCCTGATTAAAGTTTTTAGAATTTATTTTCTTTTTATGTGTTATCAACACCACTTCTAAACTTTGAACCGCCTTCCTTGCGTGATAGACGCGGGGAACGAATCTTACGATTCGGTACTCGGTAAAAATAACAATTTGTGCACAAAACATTTGGCGAAGTTGTCGGGGAAGGCAAGAAGAATATTTGGTTTTGGTGTTGATTTTATTTTCCGTGTTTCTCTTTATTTTGTGTTTTTCGTATTTTTGTTCTTTCTTTTGTGCATCTTATTTTTCTTTTTGTCTTTCTTGTTTTTTGTCTTTTTTTTTTCCTTTCTTTCGTAGGTATGTGTTGTTTTTTTGTTTTGGTGTGCTGGAAATATGAACTTCAACCGTGTTTTCCCTTTATCGCACACCAATTTTGGGTTAACGAGTCGAGCTATCAGGCCAGGTACCCTGACCAGTCATATCCGTACTCTTCCGAGCAGTACTGGCACCTCTTCTCCGTCGAGCAATATTATGAGTCCCACGAGTTGAACGAGAAGCTCGACCATAGTTATTCTTTTGCAACATCCCGGTTAGCTCGGGAAGAAGAGACCGCAACCCGGTGTGACCGTCCAAATCAGCCACCTCCATACTACGAGTCTTGGGACTATGGACAAACTTGGTCATATCCTTACGAGCAGCAGTGGCATTTAGAGCCTGTTGAGCAGTCATATGAGTCCCCCGAGGAAATTTCAGAGTCTAATGCCAAGCTCGATCAGGCTCTCACTCTTTTGGCATCCCAAGTGGCTTGTAGGAGCATTATTAAGTCCAGACTCGAGAACCTAGTGCAGCGCGTGCAGGACTTAGAGTGTAACACCCCGCTTATCAGAGTCAATTTTTTCACATCTTCTTAATTTGAAAATACGTATAAATTTTTCAAAATCTTCTTAACTTAGCTCGGGATGCTACTAAAACTTATCTTCTTTAAAATTTGTCTTCTCAAAACTTGGTCTAACAACTGATTAAATATAATAAAAAAGATTTTAATTATAAAAAACAAAACTGATAAATCTTTTAACTTTTAAAAATACTATCACACATGTTCAATATCTGAAAGACGTAGCGGAAATCTTATAAGCATGGTATAATACAAACCGAAACCTTATTAAAACTTCATAATATAACAAATGAACCAAATTCTTGATCCACACCACCATAGCTGATCTCACACCTCTGCACCGACCCTCTTACCTGAAAATGATAATAGTGGGGCGTGAGTACTAATCCACTGTACTCCGTAAAAACTCATACTAAAGTAAACATTAATAATAATATCAATATCATGACCACAGGTATATATAAGCTTCTCCCGAACACTAGATCCGGTAACTTAAACTGAACTGCAACTACCGTACTGTCGGTTCTCACGTGATCACATATTGGGGGCTGCCTCCCCAAAACCCAGTCTGGACTGGGCGAGTCTTAACTTACTTAGGATGGCTTATTAAGGCTACTGCGCCTCCACCCCAAGCATAACTTTAACTCATATACATACCTTTGAACATGATCTAGCTATTATACTCAATGTAATACCCAGTCTGGGTCCCCACCTTTCTTTTTTGAAAACTTTTGAAAACTGTAAGTGCAGTACTGGTAGTTGTATCTGCAACTACATAAAAATATAAACAAATTTACTAAGTACTATGCTCATAGTATTCTCAATAGTACTTTGGGATTCTTAACTTTAACTAATAACTCATCTGAATCTTAAAGATAATTTCGGTTATAACTCAAATGAACATTAATTCATTGAACATCTTAAATTCTTAAACTTTTACCTAAGACCGAACTTAAACCATATGAATCGTGATTTTTAAACTTAGATGTTTGTATAAACTCATATACCATTTAAATAACTTGAAAGTGAAAATAACTAAATTACACATACATAAATTCATGATTCAAACCTTATCTTAAACTTATATATATATAAAAATGGTAACTTAAAACTCATCAAAACCATATTATAATATCAATATACTATTCTTGGAACAATTCATAGAATTGTCTTCTTAACACATTCAACTAAAACTCAATCAATACTCATATAAATCATGCCTTATTACTTAGATGTTGGCTTGCAAAACTTGTAAGTGAAATAACTCAAATTCACATACATAACTCAACATATTCAACTTACCAACATCAAACTTAACTCATGATTTATAACAATTAAACTTGTTCATCCTTATAACTCAATCATAACATTAAATTATGATATCAACATGCTCACTCAACATGTTAAAGCTAAACTTGCACAATTTATGAAATTGCATGTTTATCAACATTTTGATGCTAAACTTACCAATTTACTCATCATCAATTGTGAAACTCATACTCTTACACTTAAGATGAATAACACATCATATTAAGCTATCAACTTATAACTTTATCAACTTCTCATCATGATAACTCATATCAATAACATGAAATGGATACTATTATGCCAACATAAACTAAATCATTCATATCTCAACTTATAACTCATGCATGATATCAAATACTTAAATTCTAACAAGAATCACTTATACTAATCATGCTTTGCTAATAACATGAATCAAACATAAAATACAAGCATGAATTACCTCCATCAAGGGCTTGAAATTGAAATTTGAAAGACTTGATAGGAACTTGAATTAACTTGAATTATCTTGAAAATCCTTTACTCCAAAAATACTTCTCCTTCAAAAATCCTCACTTAACCTCTCAATATAACTTTGATACTTTACTTTGATGTAAAAATCTGATTTTTGAAGCCTCTATTTATAGCCAAAACTTTGGAATAAATAATTTGGAGTAAAGAAATTATCAAATTTAACAAA